CTTCCATAACTGGTATCTGAATACCATTAGCATATAATCAATTAAAATAAGTACCGGTATTACAATATGTACCAGACTTGTGGACGGCTGGGCCAGCCATTATATTCGGATGGCACATGTTGCAAGACTCCCACAAGAAGTACAATATGTACCAGACTTATACATATTACAAGCTCAGGCCAGCTTGCTTTGACCCATAATCAGACTATCAGCTGTCTTTTGCTTGATATTCCAGATCCCTGGAACAAAAAGGGGGGCATTGGCTGATGAACACAATAAACAGTGTATAATTGCTCAGACTAGCTACTAGACAGGATTTGCTATGGCTAGACATTCAACACAGTACTATCTGCTGACCCATACCCTCCACACAACCTACTCAATGGAAAGCAAGCCATGTCACTACAAACCAGATAGGGGAGATGAGAGACATACCTGGTACACTAGTCATCTTGTATGTGTAGAACCCAGCAGCAGTAGACCTGCAGAACGGATCAGAACACTCAGTCATCAGTCATGTCACTAAACATACCTAGCAAGCATGACTCAGACTTGTCGCTCCGACAATCTGAGAACCTATGAATATGGGCACACAGTAACAGAGAGAAATGGCTTACCCACAACCAAGACATGTCGATACACGATGAGGGCCACTTCTAGGTCACATCAACCCCGCCGTACACGCGCTGTAGGAAGGTACTTAGGCGGTTTAAGGAGAGGCAACGGGTTCACAAAGAGAACTTACCCGCGGAGAGTTATAGTAGACGGCGTCGATGCCACCATTCAGAAGCATGTGAGGGCTGTGTAAGGGACTTAGTCGTGATACGAGGGAGAGAGGGGATGAGCGACAATGTCGAACTGCGGCGCGCTTTTAAGTCAAGTTCAAAGTCCGCCATGTTGAACTTAGCACGTGAGGCGACGCGCATCAGTCAGGCGCTGGTGGTTGCTTTGTTGCTAAGGGTATATATATAGAATGATAAGATAATCCTCTGGTAAGCGTATCTCAACAGGCGGTTGGCTTATCATAAATACAAGTCTGGTATTCGGCTGGTAATGCGATTGTAGACGTGCTAAAATAACTGGAATAAGTGCCAGCCACTACCAGCCGCGGGACAATTTGCTGATGTCACCTGTTTCCAAGTCCGGTTCTGCTTGATGAGCATGGAAACCCTGACTATGATTTATTCGGCACCCTGGAGCTTCAATTTCTGGGGAAAGTCCCTCGTGGTGGGCTGGAAGTCCCCGATACACTGCCTGCTGCACGGGAGCAGAACCAGAATTATGCGATTTATCTGGCGAAAGGTGATTCGGTGACTTGCGACTCCCGATTATCATGGTTCGCCCGGACGACAGGGGTGTTCTGATTGACTTTGACTGGGCGGCCAAGGATGGTGTTGGGTGATATCCTGCTAGGCTGGGAGGGTCCCACGAATGGGCACCGGGTGTAGAGCGGTTCGGGCTGATGCGGAAGGAGCACGACAGGTTTATGTTGGATAGACTGAGGGAGGTTTGCGTGTAGATTTCAATGCAGGTCTATGTACCCTGACTAGTCCCTTGTGGACTCGTGATGCACCAATTGCCATGTTCAAAATATGAGTACTTATAGCTGACTTCCGCTGTGCGACACATGCAAGATCGACGTCTCTGCCCACACACCCACCACCAATGCACTTGCAATATTGATCGACTCACCCGTGTGACCACCCGTCTCCCGTACCTCCCACATTTCTCCCACTTGCAATCTCATGCCGGCGAAGTCAGCTTATTGCGACCCATTGAGGGTAGTCTGAGGGCTGACTGTTTCCGGTCTCTTGAAACCACTGGTCCACACAGGAACAGTCCAAGGTCTCGGTGCTGTACTTTCAGTATCCAAGCATATGCTACATTTGCAATGGTAATAAATATTATGTAATCGCTGCAAGAGCAAAGACATCAGCAACCATTCCATCCCACAACTTAGACAACGTACTGTATTTCGGCCCTCCCCCGCCTTCCGGCACGGTCCAATTGATATCCTGCGTCGGCACCTTGATATCACAAAGTTTGCAATGTATACAATTCTACGAGAGGAGCAATAAATGTGAGCGTCGAGTCGTCCTGCGCGGAACAAGATAGGCGCACCTGCGAATTGATCACCAACGCCTTCCCCTCCCACCCCGCCTCCCGCGCCTTCTCCTCGTCCTCCACATACTCATAAACCCCCGCAGGACACGCCCTCCCCAAGAGCCCCGCAAACTCCCCCACATTCCGTCTTACATGCTCCTTCCTCACCTCCGCGCCCTCCAACCCCTCCTTCGTCACCCGCAAATGCACCGGCTGATCCTCCGCGTGGTTCGTCCCCGTCAGGGCGAGCGACGTCAGCAGGTCCGTGCTCAGCGGCGGGCGGAACGGCGGGTACTGTATCGGCTTGACGCCCGGGGCGCCCGTGGGCTTCGTGTGCGCCGCGTCGGTCGTGCGCTGGCGGTTGCGGAACGTCCAGGGCGTGCGGCCCTTCAGGACAAACGTGTCTAGCCCCGAGTACGCGAGGCCGCCCCAGATGCCGAGCGGCGTGTTGAAGCTCGGACGCAGGTTGCGCACCTCGTGCAGCTCCTTCCATACCCAGCTCTCCTTCAGGGCGGCCTCGTACGCGCTCATGTCCACTGCCGCCTCGGACTCGGACGGTGACTCGAGCGCGGCGAAGGCGGCCTCGGCTGCGAGCATGCCCGACTTCATCGCGTTGTGCGTGCCCTTGATCTTGGGCACGTTGACGAACCCCGCCGAGCAGCCGATCAGCGCGCCGCCGGGGAAGTGCAGCCGTGGGACGGACTGCAGCCCGCCCTCGTTCAGCGTGCGCGCGGCGTACGCGATCCGCGTCGCGTCGCCCGACAGGAGCTTCTCGAAGTACGGGTGGTGCTTCATTCGCTTCGCTGCACGTGTTAGCCCTCATCCTGCCAGCGAGACTGACAGACTCGTACCTGCAGCTCATTATACGGACTCAAGTACGGGTTGGCGTAGTCCAGGCCGACGACCAACCCAAGGCTCACCAGCCCGTCCGCCATATGGTACACCCACCCGCCGCCGTACGTCTTGGCGTCCAGCGGCCAGCCCATCGTGTGCACGACCTCGCCGGGCCTATATTGCGCCGGATCGACGCGCCACACCTCCTTCAGCCCGATCCCGTACGTCTGTGGGTCGCTCTCCTTTCGCAATTCGAATCGCTTGCACACCTCCTTCGTGAGCGACCCGTGCGCGCCCTCCGCGAGCAGTGTTACGCGCGCGCGGAACTCCATGCCCGGCTCGAACGTCTCCTTCATGCGGCCCTGGCGGTCCAGCCCGACCTCGTTCGTCCTGACGCCCAGCACGCTCTTCCCGTCCGCGGAGTAGACGACGCCCGCACCGGCGAAGCCCGGGTACACCTCGACGCCGAGCTCCTCCGCGATGCCCCCGAGCCACGCGGTGAAGCGCGAGAGCGAGAGGATGTAGTTACCCTTGTTGGACATCTGCGGGGGGTGGGGCATCGGGAAGGAGCGCGTGGGCGTGAGGAAGCGCATGGAGGAGGAGAGCGCGGGCTGCGTGAGCGGGTGGTCATCCCGCTCGGACCAGGACGGCAGTAGTTCGTTCAGCGCTCGGGGCTCGATGACTGCGCCAGATACAATATGTGACCCTGTAGAGATAACGTTAGTCGTACCATCGTAGATAGATATGAATACGCGGAACGAATACAGTCGAATCCCTCTTAAGCCAACCCATACTCCCTCATGGCACGCACATTTGGGATCCACCAACCGGCCATTTTATACTAAATACGCACTCTCATAACAAGTATCCCCCATAACCCTTGCTTTCGGGCTTCCACGGACGGCTATGGGCTAAGAGGGACTCGACTGTATCCGCAAGATGCTGAAAATCAGCAGGATGGAGTGCTCACCAATTTCCGCCCCCTTCTCCAGCACTACCACACGGACCTCCCTCCCCTTCTCCTGCTCCAGCTGCTTCAGCCGGATGGCAGCACTCAGGCCCGCAGGTCCCCCACCAACGATACACACATCCACCTCGTCTGATGGCCTTTCGACGTTGTTGGGGTCGAACAGCTCGCGCCGACACCGAGCACTGCTGTGCAGAAACCGGAGCTGCCGTACAGCGAGCGACTTGTAGCGACCCGAACGCAACATCGCCGTGGACGTCGAGGCGGTTAGCTGAGGGGCTTTGCCAACCACCGGCAGACTATTGGTGGCCGAGCGCAATCATAACCGATGCATGTGAATTTTGCGGGGTAAACGAGGCTAACCCGATCGGGATTTGCCACAATCTGCCACAAATCTGATGCATCCAACTACGTAGCGTGCTTACGGCGACAGTAGTATGCAAGCTTTGACTTTGTAGTGAATCCTGAGGGCGTTGGTGGAACTCCCACTTCCCTACCGTGAACCGCCTTGCGTAACTTGTATTTCATGATCAGCAATGATTGCATTTTGTTCCAGGCTTCAGTGGGACAGTGCCCGTGGGACTCTGGGGAAGGAGGGGGGACAGCTAGCATCAGCCTTCCTGCTCCAGTGTGCAGGCAATGAGGTGGACAACAATGGACCATGTTGCACTGCTGGGGCACTGTCCCTCTATGCTAGACATTGATGTAAGTATGTCAATAGGATGTGATGTGTGAAAGTCCAAATAAAAATTTCTGACACTCACATAAAGCTCTATGTCAAGAGAGCAAGGTTTGAAAGAAAAGGGCCATTGAGTGTGGGCAAGATGCAAACTTGAGAAAGTCAGTGTCAGCAAGTACAAGAGGTGTAAGTCAAGCCACACAGTCCTGCTCTTCATGAACTCCCAGCAGGGCTTTTACATATCAATGACAGGCAAGCAGTCTTGTTCAAAGCTCTGCTGAGCACAGGTTCACTACTTTCCACTGCCATGCAGGAACATGCACTCAAGCACTATAACGTGGCAGAAGAGGGCCAATGCTATGCATGGCAGGTTCAAGTCCTGAGCATTCTGAGTCATATAATTTATTATAGACTTAATGCTGTGGCATCTATAGCTACTACAATCAAGAGGGGTGCAAAACCAGAATTTTGGACACCAACTTTCCAGGACCCCCGGAAAGGGGGTAGGGGGGGAGTCCCCCTTCCGTGTACGGATGAGCCGGACAGCGGCAGAAGTGCAATCGGACCTCATTTGGACGGTGACGATAAAATTAGAGACCCATCTTTACCTGCAGTGTCACGTGACTTTCTGGCAAGCATGAGGTCTGACATTCATCCCAGATGGCGTGTACTTGCAGATATTCAGAAGGCATTAAATCCTGACATAGACTAAATGATAAAATTGCTAATATCGTACTACATGTGTGCAAGCGTTTATTAGAGCAATATTGGACTTGATTCGGCAACTGTGCAAGGATTAACGGGAAACTGAGCAAAGAGTGCGTACTAGGACCCCGAACATCAATACTGACCCAGTGCAAAGGTAGGTCTGTGTTCCCAATTTGGATCTTGCACCCCTCTTGACTACGATTGTACTCTTAATATGAGTCTGGAAATCCAGACGTTTGATAGTTAAAACACCTTAATTTGCTGAAACAAATCACTAGTGCACACCATCCATTTACCAACCATTTACCACAGGCATGTCCCAACTATGACATAGCTCAATGCAGAAACTACATAGTAGGCGGTAGCCAATGAGAAGCCAAAAGCCAATTCCCACGGTAACAACATGCCCCACATGACAATGGGCATGCAGTAAAGGATGTAGCAATGATAAAATCCTCAAACTATTCCAGTAGACAGAAGACCCAAAAACCTGCCTCATAGAAGAAACCACAGACAGATGAAAAACTCGAGATGAAGATACACCATTATCACGAACAGACACTACAAATAGGATTTTGGAGTCTTTTTGTAGTCACCAGTACAAATGGACATTGGATCGCTGGATCTGGACCAACAACATTGTATGAGGTACCAGCACTAGGAACTAGTCTACCATAGGTCAGCAACAAAAGTGACAAAAACATGTTTTCTGCAGTAAAGAGGTTCTGGGTGGGGGGCTGATGATTTGTAAGCAAATAACCCAGGTAGGGTTACATACAGTGAATATTGCACCACCCTTGCACAACTTGTATCTCAGCAATGGTTGCATATTTCTGTTTGGTGTAAAATGTAATTTGTAGTACTGCTTTTCCTCTACATCATGGTAGTATTACCAAAACATTCTGCTGTATTGTGGCTGAAAAGGAGGCCAAATACAATGGGGACTGGTTTTGAACTATGTGTAAAGCACCCTCCAATGGTTCTGGTATGCACATAGCTAGAAAGAGCTCGAAATTCGGAGTAATTTTGACCCCAGAACATCCCTGATTGACTATACCATTGTGGAGATATGTATGCAGAAAGTTGGGGGTTTTGGTGTAAAACTCTGAAATCTGACACCAAAATCCCAACTTTCTGGCCTCATATCTTTGCAACAATGTAGTTGTATTCCTCAATTCTGGGCTCTAAAATACCCGGAATTTCATGGAGATTTTTACTGTGTAGTCATTTTATACCTTCCCCTTGTTTGCGATGATAGATTTTGACTACAAATTTTGAATGCCTCCTAGTAAAACAAGATCAACTTTGCTCTTGACAAGATTCAGGTAGGTAGATAGAGCTCAAAAACTACTACAATCTTTGTCTTTACACCAAAGAGAAATATGCGGTAGTTCATGAGTTATGGCTCAAATACATATCGGAAAGGGGTGGTGCATTACATAAGTGGTTCACTGGAAATTTGGGCCAGGTCCAAATTCACACTGCTAATTTGCAGGTTGCTGGCTGGAGGCCAGATTTGCAGGTGTTATTTGCTGTTAATTAGCAATGGGGACCGGGCCAGAGCACTGGCATGGTCCACATTAATTAGCATGCTGATTTGGCCTGATGTGTCTGTGAATTACAGAAAAGCTACCAAGAGACCATCAGCCCGGTGGTTTCAAGTTGTAGGGTTGTGTGTAATCCTGGGATTACGCCCACACGCCACATTTCCCTATATGGCTTCGCCACTACTGTTCTTGTTGCCCTTTCACACACTTCTCATTGCTTCTCGTCACTTTCATTTATGTGCTATTCCTGTAGTTGCTTTCACATCTGTCACTTGCCCGACTTATAAGTCGAAGAGTTCCGATCCTGTACGCTATCGTTTGTTCCCCCCCCCTCTCTCTCTCTCTCTCCGCAATATAGCGAAGTCCAGTTCCTTTGCGTGCCACCTCTTGAGTGTTGTCCGCCGTTGGCGGACTTCCATTGTGTACTGGTAGTTATCTAACATGACCACACATAATGTGATTAGTACAGTAGGTGGACCCACAAGACAGGCTATGTATGCATGTAAGCTATGTACTGAATGGTTTGAATTAACTGAGATTAACATGCTGAAACCCGGGACCATCACTTTAGCATGTAATTAATGCTATTTTACAACTGCAAATTAGCTAATGTGGTTTTCACAACCCAACCATAAACCCGGAGTTGTTGATTAGAATTATCCCGGAAGGGGGATGTAAAAAAGTGTAAGTAATGACCGAGGAGATACGAGTTCCTGCCTGCGTATGGTGGGATGCAAGGAGTCCTATGACAAGCACTACTGTATTGAACCGGTATTCAGTATGTTCAGGACTTTCGCGTGATGCCAGGCAAAAGCAAAAAGCACTATTTCCGCCATGCATACGGCAATTGCCGAAACAGGTAACTTACTATGTACATGGGTAAGAAACAACCCCCAGGTGGGCCTGTATAACTTACCGATAACTTGCAGGCCAGGGATTTTCTTTCGGATCACTAGTTCCAACGGTTGGTTGGAATCCCCCCCCCCCCCCCCCCCCCCCCCAATGTCTCCAATCACAGTCGCGACTCTGACATTGCCATTTGTAGTAATACAATTTCCAAATCCGGGTATGTCAGAGCACCCCTTCCGCATACGCACCGCGTACCACGACCCGCCATCCGGCTGCGGACTCTACACTCAACTGCTCCTCTCTGTCGGCCTTCATTACTGTTTCTTGTCGCACCGAGTAATCACAGCTTACACGCGCACGGCCGCTGCGCACAACATACCCCAAGCCAGCCTCGAGACGTCCAGAATACACACCGAACTAATGGCGAATATACGTGATACCCTGGTACGCCCTCCCGCACGCTGTCCACACCGAGCAGGCGCTGACGGGACAGCTGACAGTGGGACACCGGGCGCGACGAGACCGTCGAGGTGAATCAGCGCGCTCTCATCGACAAAGTCCTCGCGCGATACTCGGGCGAGTTCACCGGTGCGCACTAGAACCTATTCGAAAGTCTCGTTAATATATACTGATGTCCGCGTCTGCCTGGTGTTGTTGGCAGTCTTCCGCGAGCTTCTGCAGAACTCCGACGACGCGGGCTCGTCCGCCGTGGAGATCCACTTCGAGACGAGGGCGTACGCGGAGAAGACCAAGGCGGCCGCGTCCTCGTCGTCTTCCCCAGCGGACGCGGAGCCTTCGGAGGGCGACGAGTCTACTCGGACGGACAAAGCAAGGGAGGACCTGCCGGATTTGAAGACAGTCCAGGTATGTCCATGGAGTTTGGGGCAGAGGTGGTTGGTTGGCGGGGTCATGGGAAGCTGACGAGGGCGGTGTGGTAGGTCCACCAGTGGGTGTTCAAGAACAACGGGCAGGTGTTCAGGGAGGAAGACTGGAGTCG